ATTCGCGATTGTCGTTTTTGCAAAATTTTTGCCGATAGGGTAAAAACAAAAGACGATAGCTATTCGGAGTTTTCGGCATTAGCATTTTCTCGAAAAACGAGATCATGACATGTAAGCTACTTTTTTTCTATCTCTTTTAGTTTCGGAGATAGCCTATGTGGACATCGAAATTGGGACACCCTGTACAGTCAAAACTCCAACATAACAATAAATCGTCTTAAATAGTCTTCATCGCTACTTGATAACAAACGTGCACGTTTATTACGGACTTGACCAAAAGCGCTATCATCAGCATCAACAGTAGATATGTCTAGCACAACTGTCGGATTTAATTCAAATGAAGAATTTCGTTCGTTATTAATGGTCTCTATTGTTTTTTTTTGTAGTTGTGAAGTCGGTTATTAGCTGCTGTTTTTTTGGTTTCTCAATACGTCAGTACGAAAAAGCAGTTGGTATGGCTGCTTCCCATTTTTTCACACATTTGTGCAAAAAGTCTTGCGTTTAAAGGTCGGCTTTTAATATAATTAACGATTTTCACGCTTTCATCAAGAATTTTTTGCAGATCAGCAGGCATCTTACGTGTTGCCAAAGCCTCTCTGTGAATGCAACAATGTGTGGACTTGACATTTGGTGCAACCTTCCGAATTTTTGCAATGAATCCTTTATTAATGCCGACCATACTTTTTGCACCATCTGTACTTATTCCAACACATTTAGTCCAACTAATTTTGTTATCTTGCATAAATTTATTCATAACGTTAAAGATATCTTCTCCTGTTGTATGACCTAATAAAGGCTGGCAAAATAAAAAGTCGTCATGAATTTCTTGGTTCTTTTCGTATCTAACAAACGCCATAAGATTTGCAAAATTTGTGATATCAGTCGACTCATCGACTTGTAATGCATAATAACGACTTTGAGAAATATCAGAGAATAACATCTGTTTCACATTATTGGCCATATCAATTATTCGTCGATGAACTGTATTATTTGACAAGGGTATACGATCAAGAGTTTGTTTTGCTTTATCACCTATCATTACTTCTGCCATTATTTTGGCAGCCGGCTTGATTAAAGTTTCGCCAATCGTCTCCGCTGTGTGGTGCATTTCGCAATTAAAAGAAGTTTCTAGGATTTTTTGATTGCCACCTTCTGTTAAACCTCTCATTACTTTTTGAAATTGATTTAAATCTTTGAGTTTATGTTTAAAAAATTCGATTGGTTTATCTTTGTATTTAAAGTGCTTTGGTCAAAATGTCGCTTTAAGTTCGATGGTTGCATACTTTCATTGGTAAGGTTTTCAAAACAAATTACACAAAGTGGAATGGGTTCCTTTTCATCACCACTCCACGAGTGTTTAATACTTCGTTAAATGAATTAAACTTCAACACCGTTACTTATTATATTTATATTCTTCACTATTATTACATTAACAATATTCATACAACTGATAACGTTCTTACTTCTTACTAACAATTATGTTAATGCTTGACAATTCTCTCTGCGATGTAGGAAAATAAATTACGCTTACCCTGACTAGTCATGTGCAACCCATGCCTAGTTTTGTCAATATGCTTAATAATTGAGTTTGAATCAATAAAGTAGGTTCGGGCACAATTTATGTCATAGATCGGACAATGATATTGTGGTTTATTAAGCTAATATGGAACCGATATACAGACCAAGCTACAGCGATCTCGTATAGTCTTAATTTTATCGATCAAAACCACAAAATCTCGCTTATTAAAGTCTGCTCTTAGCTTGACAATGTCGTCGATTACTTGAACAAAGAACGCATTAAGCTTACAAAAAGTTATTAATTCGAATTTATTAAAAGTACCGTCATCAAGAATTTCGCTCACATTTCTCACATGACTGTCGCCCAAGACTAGGATGCGCGGCCTTCATTGGCAGGAAGTGTCCGGCCTTGATGATGGCCGAGTTATAGTTGCCTGAACGAAGCCCCTAGTATTCACCCTCTTGTTGTCGGGCAGGATACAGCTTTGCTGATCTTATTAATTGATTTAAGTTTTAATAATTTCACTGATTTAGATAATTGAACTGACAATCTATTTATTTTATCTTCCAGAAACTTAATTTTATTGATGATATTCAGCTACACATAACTTAAGATTACGTTGAAATTTCAATGCACGCTCCATGTCAGGATTATGAGTAAGAAAATGTTGATCCATACTTGTAGCAAATTTCAAGCCATCGCGATTTAAATCAGCCGTTAATAGCTGAACTTCATCTTCTACCTTGTCATTATCGATTTCTTTATTTTCACAAATTCGATCAAATCGTCTTCATCCAAGGGGCTTTCTCGCATCAATTCATCAATATCAGCCGTTTGAATGTTGTTAAAACCGTTGCCACCAATTGTATTTGATAGAGTTATAATTTCAGAACACACAGCTAATTTTTCTACTACAAAACTTCCACTTTTGACGCATGCTGGCAATATTTTTTTCCAACAAGCATTTAAGATTGATAGGCGCAATTGTTTAATGACAACAGAAGCAAGTGTAATGCAATCCATAATCGTAAACTTTCTCCATGCTTCCAAAACAGTCAAATTTGTTTCTTTATGTAGATTGTTTCTGATCGAATGGCTGAATCAGCGAGGTTGTATCAGGCGGTAAAAATAGCAATTGAATATTTGGATGATCCAACACTGGGTGGCTGGGCGTATTATCAACGAGCAAAAGTATTTTCTTCCATATATTTCTGGACTTCAGGAACAAAGCAGTTGTTGAACCAATTTGTAAACAGATCAGCCATCATCCATGCCTTTTTATTCGCCATGAAATGGACTGGAAGTTGTTTAATGTTCTTATCTCTTAATGTTCGTGGCATAAGAGATTTGTTGATTAACAAAGGCTTTAACATTTTATCACCAGATGCGTTACTACATAACAAGAACGTCACTCGATCTTTGGCCTCTTTAAAACCACCAGTTGATTTTTCAGATTTTGCTATGTAAGTTCTTTTGGGCATTTTCTTCCAAAACAATCCCGTTTCGTCGGCATTAAATATTTGTTCTGGAGTATAACCACCCTCTTCAACGATTTTTGCTAGTTTATCCGGAAAGGTATTTGCAGCATTTTCGTCTGCTGATGCTACTTCTCCCTTTATTTTTACATTGTAAAATGCGTGTCTTTTTATAAAACCTGTCGGCCATCCCTCATTTGCATTAAATGCCAGTTTCTTCGTTGCCTGAAGGCTTGTTGATGGTTGCAATTCCTGAAGTTGGTTATTTATTCTAAGTGTTTTTTCTTTTATATGTTTCCCATCAATAGATATTCTTTTTGACTGTAACTTGTCTCTTCGGAATTTGTTGTTTAGACATTTTATTAAACAATAAGGGTACTATAAAAAGAATCCAAAATAATATTGCTTATAGAATTTTTCTAAAGCGACAATCTAACACAATACATATAATCTTTTTTAGTAGCAAAGAATTATCATCATTACAAATAATACATTGGAAATTTCACCATCGAATTAAAAAAACTTTAATTTAAACATCCACTTTTAGAACTTTATCGAGATTATTTATTACGTCTCACAAACTGACCACTCTTAATACAAAATAAATACTGAATGACGAAATCCTATGTTCAAGTTGAAGCACAACGAGATAAAGAAAAAAAGTGGTCATAAAATTCTGGTATCTGACTTCTGACCACGGTATTCCCCCATTGTATTTTGTTACTGTATACATAACTTTCTATAAGACGCCATCAAAATTAGAATTAAACATTTTTTTTGGGATTCGTGCTATAACAAAAAATTCGTATAAAAAAATGTATTGGTGAACCGTGTTAAAAAAGACCGTGTAAAAAAAGAGTTTGGTGTACATAAATATATATATATATATATATAGGCAAGTAATATACCAGAAGCAATTTATAACATGAACTGGTACGACGCGGATGTCTCAACACGAAAAGATGTGGTGATTATGTTGTGTATCAGCCAAAAACCGCTCGCGGTGGAATTGCCCTTGTTTGGGAACCTATCACACACAGCAGCGGCAGATGTAAGTTGTGCGTTAGATGATTCGAAAATAATAGAATTAAAACTTATTTTGAAGGAGTACAAGAAGGTTTATGTATTTTACAACTGGATCCTAAAAGTTGCGAGATAAGAAGCTTAGTTAAGATTAGAAATGTTGGTTAAATTTCCTTTAAAATGCTTTTTACTTCATATTAATATCTCAACTCGTTCTTGAGATATGTATAAATAAAATTTTTATCAATTTAACTTCAACGCCCGCATGGTTAAATTAAAAAAATCGTACCACCCAAAATTATGGGAACGAAGAAATTATTTTCTATACGTTGAAACTACATTAAATTTGTGATAAAATGGTGTTTATTTCAACTTGATATCTCATTTACTTTTTGAGATATGCTTTT